GGGAGCGTCAGATAATGCTCAGACCTGTGGGATCTGTGCTGTTGGGTGCTGACCTCTGGTCTGATTTCCACTTGCCAAGTGCTTCCCAGGCTGTGTTCCAGGTATGACATAATCATACGTATACATCGTATGTGGAAAACCAAGTATCTCAGGGATCCTGAGTACTGCTTGGAGCACGTGTGACTCACTCATTCAGCCAGTGTTAATGACCACGACATCTAGGGCAGCATGACACAAGGAATAACCAGGTGCAGTTCCTGCCATTGGGACCTTGCAGTGCATCACGGGAAACAGACGGTCAGCATGTAGTGACACAGCCCGGCAGTGAGCGTTGCTATCAGGTCTGTGGGTCTTGACTCTGGTTAGGTGTTGTGAGTTTGTAAAGGGTGGCTTAACTTAGGCTGGGCAGGAGGAGAGGAAGTGACATCTAAGCTGAGACCTGAAGGAGGAACAGGAGTGTGGGATAGGTGGGGAGGGTCCTGGAGGTGGAGAGGAAGGGGCCAGGGGTGCGGGATGGGCTTGAAGGGGGTGAGAAGGCCACATGAGACAGGCCGATGAGGCAGGGCATCTCTTACAGGCAGGGAGGGCCTTGGGGCTGCACATGGAGGCTGGGTTTGCCTTGAGTTTATCTGGTCGACACAGCACATTTTTTAAAAACATTTCTCCCAGGCACATGCCGCCTTTGTGTCTGCCTTTCCCACCAGCCTGCTTCACAGTGAGTACCTGCCTGCAACCCTCTGGATTGACTCTTGCCTGTAAAGACCTTTGGCCAGTATCAGAGTCTAGTAGAAAGCTCACTTTTGCCAGGATGCACTGACATGATGTTTACTGCATCCCTACTTTTTCTGTTACATTTGCGGTGGTGTGGAGGTGCAAAGATAAACGGGCTTGGCTTTCAGATGCAAAGAAGCTGTCATACAAGCTGGTGCTGGTGCAAGGTGGCATTTGGAGAGTGCCATCCCCCAGCCAGGGTACCTGCGACTCTGCGTCTGACTGTCACCTCCAACTGGTGATGGAGGATCAAAAAGCTAAGTTGTGTGGGTTGCACAGGAGCAAAGGGACTCTTGTGGGGTCTGGGAGGGTTCTTTTGTCCGTGGGTAGGGAGCTTCAGGGGCTGGGAGGGCGGGTGTGGTGAGCACGCGTCTAGCTCTCCCAGCGCTGCTGTGAAAGAACCGGTGCTCGCTCTTCCCCTCGGCAGAGCTGATGTAGTTCTTTCTTTCAGTTCTCATCCTTGGGATGGACACCATGCTCTGCTGTGTTCACCTCACTTTATAAATGTGGTGGTTTGGGGTTACAAACCTTTCTCTAAGAGCACCTACCACGAGTGACTGTGGGCCCTGCCC